GTTCCTAATGAGCCCCTTAATGCTCAGCATGATGACAGCCAGTGTGAAACTGAATACTGACAACTCTACCTGGCACAAATATTTGTACTATGCTTTTCAATTTAAACACGTGTCAAGCCAATTCCATATGTATAGGGTTTAAAGACTATTCCACTCAAGCCAGGTACACACTCCTCGGAGCTCTGTTGGGTATAAGAGGACCCTGGTACAATAGTCAAACCTCTTGCAAGTCTGCAATAAATCATCTTTGCAACCATAAGCGTGTACAGTTGACTGCTTACCACTGCTCTGCAGGCCCTCCCCCCACTCCCCAAGCTGGTAGAATTTTAATTCTCTCAGTAAAATTGATTCTACCAGTTCCACACATTATTCTCCCTGTCTTCCATTTAGCCCGTTAGTTTGCTGACAGTAGAGTACACAGCACTTAGCAGCTGGTTTGTGGAACCATCAGTCAGGAAATTGTATGATAAATAGGAGGTAGCCAGGTTTAGTGGCACTTCCTTCTGCTTCAGCAGTTTTCGCCCGACTTTGGAGAAGTCATCATGTGGTGTTTTGTCAAGGGCCAGGGCAGGAGATGGCTGCGGTGCGGTAACTTATTACACATACGCTTGAGTTATGATGCGCCACAGCTGCGCTGCTCATGTGTAAATAATAAACCGTGAGGTGGATAATTATGGTGGCTGCTGGCGACAAGGGCCTCTTCTTGTCATGTGGGTTTTCTTGGACAGCTTTCCGGGTCTGTGATGGAATAGGCTGCCGATCCCCACAGAGGCAGCAGGCAGCAGACTGCCGAGATGCAGGGTAAGTGCCCTGCATTGGAGGATCCAGGAGTGTTTTTCCAGAAACGTGTTGGGATCAATGTGACATGGTGCCACATGTGTCAGGGGACGTTGTCTCCTTGCTTGGTATTTATCACATGAAGTCATGGCCAAGCACGTCTTGAATTGGAAGAAAAAACTCTATTGCACTTTCCCAGAAAGTGGCTTACGAGGTGTGATCTCCACTAACAAGCAACACAAGGTGCAGTGTTTGTGCCGACTCCAGTCCAGGAAAAGTTATTTTCAATTTAATCAAGAGGGAACCATAGGAACAGTGAAACAATGAAACTAAAACCAGATGTCTTTGGTCAAATCAGATCATACTCATTAATTATTTTTGTTCTTTATTTAAGCCCAATTCCAGTATGCAGAATTCATAAATTTCCTGGGGACATAAATAAACACTTTGTGCAAACAGTGTTACAAAATGCATCACGTGCTTTTGGTCAGAATTAACTTAAACTCACAAAGCAAAATCAAATAATTTCTCTGGCAGTGGAGAAATGAACATTAAATGACTTCGTCATTTTCTTTTTTTTTTTTTTTTTATAATTTTATTTATTTATTTTTTTTATTACATTGCATCATGAGACACAGTTTTACTTCGTCATTTTCTTTGTATTTTTCTCTCAAATATTTCCGCAGTAGTTATTTTCTTGTTCATGCTTGAAAGAAAGTGGGAGAGGTGATAGAGTGACTTTAGGTCCTGAAAGATTAATTTCTTGAAAATGAAAACATGGCCAAGTCTTTCCAATGTCAGTGATAGTACTGTGGGTCTTTCTTGGGGAAGAGCATCTCTACTGCTGGGTAAATTCTTGTGATTTTTATAGGATTAGCCAGGCACTTTTCCCCTCTGTGCACATAATCACTGTGACTTTGTTAAAAATACTCATATAAAAGGTAATGGCTGTTATTTCCTGGATGTATATGGAATGCATAATGGGTGGAATGACTTCATACATTTCGGCCCCATGTGTATGAAAAATGTGAGTTTATACTTCATCACAGTTCATTGTTACAGTCACATAGAGAAAACCCAGACACAGTTAACACCCACTTATCTGGTGGAGAGAATTTAATCACGCAGAGCACGACCAAGAGCCAGAAAGTAAAGAGACCAAGGAGGCTTCTGCCCCTGGGGTAGTGGTCACAGTGTCCCCAGAAACAGCCCTGTCGTGTGGTGCGTGCGAGAGGCCTCAGATGGTGGGTCAGACATTATTTGTGGTTCATTTGTATGCAGTTCTAGTAAGTTTATTTTTCTGATTTCCAAGATTGGAAGATAAGTATTAAGTGACAAGACCATGGAAGGCAAGTATGTTTGCATCAGCCATTGAAGCTAGGATCCCTTGACGTGCACCAAAGGTGACAGCCGTTGCCTTACCCAGGAGTATGAGTCGCATGGATTCGGATTAATTTCAAAATCTAAAATTAGGAAATATTCACTGAGTATGTGTCTGATTATTGAAAAAGACAACTCCTCTTATTTTTGTGATTGAATGAGGAGTCTTTTTTTTTTTGAGACATGTATTTTATTGGAAAGGCAGATATATAGAGAAGAGGAGAGAGGAAGATCCTCCATCCACAGAATCACTCCCCAAGTGGCCACAAGGGCATTAGCTGCACCAATCCGAAGGCAGGGGCCTCTTGTACATCTCCCACACACGTGCAGGGTTCCAAAGCTTTGGGTCATTCTCGACTGCTTTCCCAGGCCACAGGCAGGGAGCTGGATGGGAAGTGGAGCTGCCAGGATCAGAACCGGCAGCCATATGGGATCCAGATGTATTCAAGGCGACGACTGTAACCACTACACTGTCAGGCCGGCCGGGTTCAGGAGGAATCATTTTCATCAGCAGTGGTTAAATAAAGTAGAAATGCATTGCCTCTTCCTAGTTAAGTGCAGAAATCAACTGGACAAGATTGCAGGAAAAACTTGCAGCTTGAACTTTTAAACTCAACAAATCAGCTATCAATGTTTGCATTATGGAAGAACAACTCTCATAGCCTTTAAGTGCCAAGTTTATGTAATTGCCTTGTTTTCCTATGAACTTCATAAGAGTGCATTAAGTGTCAGAAATGGTTAGGTGGTTAGTATATTGCTCACATGTTGGGGTTCTAGTGCTACTGTGTATCAGGATATCGCAGTGACAATGGCAGAATGATGCCAGATGCATTCTTTCCCTCTTTCTTGATCACCCAGATCTTCCGTCCTGAATCTCCTACACTAGGTACACAACCTAGCGAGCAAGGGATGTTTTTGAAACAATCGTACTGTTGGAATTTTAGGTGTTGTGACTAAGTGGTAGGTAGCATTGCAGCTTTGTGTCCCAGCCAGCCTCCGTCAGTGCCATGCTAATAGCTTTTCATTCTTATTTTCGTTTGTTCTCTACCACCATAGTCAAATTCTCAAAGAAAGGCAGCAAAAACAAAACAAGGAAAATGCTGTGTTCTGATTTGTTTTAAATTAACTTTCTGTTATGTTCCAAAAGCCAAATGTGGTAGGAAGTTGGGAAAATAGAAAAATGTTAAGGAAAGACAACTAATCACTTGAATTCTGCATGTGCATGCCTTAGGCATTCTCTGCAACTTAGAAAGTTCACATTGGGCAAGAGTGGGGGACACTGACTTCAGGAGATGGGGTAAAGTCTGCTGCTAGTCTGTGTGGCTGGCATGGTCTCCCAGACCCTGGTGACCCCCTCAGAAACTGGCCTTTAGAACCTGCTGCCCTTAAAGAATAATGGGATCTGCAGACTTTTTCAAGTCCCTTGAAGCTGTTCTGAGATGGACTGGGTTCTATGTACCTGAACAGGCCCTGGTGGTGACTACTGCAGACAGAGAATTCTACCATATTTGCTCTTTTTCAGTGTCATAGTAATGAAGTCAAACTCCATGCTTTGGACTCCTTTGGAAAAACTGTAGTGCAGCAGTTACAGGCTATCAAACATGCCTCAAATTTGGAATTCTATCAAAACTCTAATTTTTATAGTAAGGCATAACTTAAGTAAGAGGTTTATTTTCAAATAGCAATTGTAAGTTACTGGGGAGTAAACCAGGCTGGAAGAACTATGTTAAGGTAGTAAACACAGGCAAAGGAACCAACGGACTCTGAGTAATGTGCTGGGGGATGGGCAAGAGGTGAGATGGTCTGAGCGCAAGGTGCATGTGGGGGTTGCAACAGGAACCCTGGGAGTTTGGCTGAAAGCCTGAAGGGGTCTGCTCATCTCTTCCAGGGAAAAGTGCATTCTTTGGTTAGTGTAGAGATTTACATCCTTGTATTGTGAACCTGGGCTGAGAAACATTTAGACTTTTTTTTTGCAGTCATTTAACCTAGTGGTTAAGGTCCCAAAATCCTGCATTGGACTACCTAGGTTTGATTCCCAGCTGTGATTCCCAGTTGTTTCCCACTGATGCAGATGCTGAGAGCAGCGATGATGACTCAAGGGAATGAGCTCTTGCCTCTCGTGGGGAAGACCTGGGTTGCAGTCTTCTTGCTGGTTTTGGGCCTCACCCAGTGCTGGCTGTTGTGGATGCTTGGGGAATGAACCAAGGCATGAGAGCTCTCTGTCTCTTTCTCTGTGCATCTCTTTACCTAGCAAATAATAATAATTTGCAAACATAGCTATAGATACTTTAATAAGTTCATGAGAATGAAAGTAAATGCTTTCTTTGCAAAAAAAATTTGAAATCAATGCATCACATTTTCATAGCATGTGTTTTTGATAAACTTTCTGAAGTTGTGTGTGTGTGTGTGTGTGTGTTGGGGGGTGTTCATTAGCCTTGATTTCTAGCAGGCACTATAATAGATACCATTAAAGGCAACATGGATGGAAAAAGTAAAACCATTATTTTATTGTAATGCCTTTGCCTAAAATTTACTCAACAGTTTATTTTCCTAAGCAGGTCAGTTGTCAACTGGCTGTCTTGGTTTTGTGGCTCCTGCTGGCCCTTCCTCTTTGGGCAGACTTCCTTCCAGGACGGGAGCCTGTGTTGCTCCTCTCTCTTGCTTCCCCATCTGGGATTTGGCTGCCTTCCTAAGCCCTGCTTCCTCAGGTGCAGATGGGTACGACATACTCACATGTGCTTCTGCAATGGCTCACGAATGACAGGACGGTGGAGCTGCCTCGTGAATTGCCAGCTGCATCCAGGTTTGAGTTTCACATGGTTTGGGGCTTCCTTCTTTTTCAGATCCTCCTCATCTTTTTCCTGCCTTCCATCCTCCTGTTCCGATTGATGCAAGACATCATGAGGGCCGGTACCATTACGATCCGTCTCCTATCCCTCCACTGCATGTGTAAGTATTACAATGATGCCCATTAGTGACATGGGACAAGATGCCAGATGTTACTGTCTCAAGACTTCTTGTTAATGGCACACCACTTGGTTTTGACGATGTGATAGAAGTGTGAGATTGACTTTTGAAATATAGTAAGCCTACCTACCCCTGGATTCACCGGAGCAGATCCCTGCTGCCTCCTGAGGAATGCCTGTCACACTAGGTAGCTGGAAAATATTTCCTATATATTTTGCTGAAGTATGTTCCATAGGCTGTAAATACAAAATAAATAAATAAATACAAAACCTAACGGAAGCTTGCCACTCATAATATGCATTTAATTGAGATTAGGTCTGAAGTTTTTGTGCAAAAATTTCTGTTACATGAAAGTTCTGTCCTGGGGATCACAGTGAATTGTAATGAAATTTTTATGGTATATTTTCAAAGTCCCCATGGTACATACATCAACAGTCACTTGATTGATGGGAATGTCACCCAAACAAAATGGCAAAAGTGATGGAACACACGGTTTATACAAAGATAAAAGGAAAGAATGGTGATGATAATCTGCATTAGAAAAAGGAAAAGGAAAATCTCATGGAAATAAAGATTGTTTCTTAGTTTGGGGAAGCAAAGACTAGTGGATTTACAAACTGAAGCCGTTTGTATTCTTTTGTAGTATGTCCAGAAAAGGCCCCTCAACTCGACTCTAATAAGGAGCCCTTCTGTGGGAGGGGCCATCCCTTGCTTACAGCCTTGATGTACACATTTAGTCATATGTAATAATCACCCTTCATTCTGAGACAGTAAACTTAGAAAAGCACAAGTAATACTTTGAAGAATAATGCTGGTTATTTAGATGGTAGATTGCATCTCCCTGGCTATTAGTTACGGCTGTGTAATTACATATTGTGCCAAAGAAAAATGAAGTTGTTTTAAAACAAGTCCTCCTCTGTGAACAGAATTAATTGATATTAACAATCCTAACTACATGCCCAAGTACACATATAATATTTTACCAACAGTTTTTTGGATCTATCTCCCATTACTGAATTGTAATTTCAGAGCAGATTTGCCTGGAGGTAAGTAATAAATCTGTGTTGCAGACTTCTATAAGCATTAAAGGAGAAGTGGGTATTTATAGTGAAAGAATGCAGAAACTTGTGAATTATTCTTGACTTTTTCACTAGAACACAAGTAAGTATTCACAGGATTTAGAAGCCTGCTAAAAATATACTCAAGGAAAACCAAGAGGCCAGTTGAAAACCCTCACAAAGGGAAGGAAATTCCAAATTCAGTGTGCAACATGACATGTAATTTCACCCCATTATATGGAGGTTGTATGGTACAGATGGGACCACACGGATCTCAGATGCGGATCTGTCCCATGGTTCAGAGTGTAGGAGGGCCGGATGGGCCTTGGAGACTTGGATAGCTAATGCCTCCCAGCCTTGTATCTCTGTAATGTAGTAATTTAAATCAGATTTTCTATGGAATTTTGGACTTCTTCTCTCTCTTTCTTTAAAAAAAATCATATTCTGGAGACACTTGTAAAAGGGTTTTGCATGATAGGCTGAACTATATTTCCTCTTAGTTCAGGCTACTTTGCCTGTAGTTAACCCCAAATGTAAGTCCAAAATGTTGGTTCTTGAAAATCCAAAGTGTTGGTTCTTGAGTACTTTTGAACTGGAAATGAGCACCAAGCCCCTAGTACATGCTCTAAGCCCTGTTTCCACTGGCTGCCTTGGCTCAGAGTGATAATAGCACCACAGAATGATTAAGCTCATGTCTGGAAAATCCCAAGGGGCAGGAGGAAGTTAAATGTTGGGTGTGACTGTTGACCTGGGATTCTATGGATTTTAGTGCTTCCTGTTTTCTACCCAAACTTCAAAAGTCCTTGGTAGTAATTGACTAAATTATTCTCTAACAGCCTAATTATACAAATGCATCTTAAGGTAGTTGTGTCCCAGTGAATCCATAATAAGTTGGAAATACTGGTAAGTCAAACATGGTTTTTAATACACCTAACACCCAAACACCACAGTTTAGCCTAGCCTACCTTAAACATGCTGGCAGCATGTGATGTTAGTTAGCCTAGCACAAAGCCTGTTTTATCATGAAGTGTTGGATATCTCATGTAATTTATTGAATACAGTGAAGGGAAACAGAGAGTGCTTGTACTGGGTATACTTTGAAGGTGGAGACAAAGAACCATTATTTGAGCCATGGTGACTTGAGTCTTTGGAAGTGATGGGCTGTCTGTACTGATTATTATAGATTCTTCTGACATCCCAGGAGAAGCTGGGAAGTTTCTGGGAAGAATTCTCACTGGTTTAGGCACTGAGCATGGCGAGCTGCTGGCCTTCTGGGATTGCTCAACTTCCATGTGTGCTAGCTGAGCCCATGGGTGGACACTACACTTAGGAAGTGGGCTGTGGGAAGTTGAGCTAGTCATGCCTCTGCTTTTGTAACATACCCTTGTCTCTCTTCCTAACAACTTCTGTACTCTTGGATGTCCCAGACACTCTTCCTATGGTGCCCTGCCTGCACAGGGTTGCTGTGCCTTTTGGTGCCCAGCACTTTGGCAGATACTTTGTTAAAGGAGCTTAGTGTGTTCACATTGGTCCAGTCCAGGAGACAGTGGATGAGCCCTCTGAACCTCAATTCAGGTGCACTGCCATTCACGGGTCCCAAGAAGATGGAGCCTTCTCCATCTCTTCTGAAGACAGGGGAATTCAAGCAAAATATGTCCAGAAAGACACTCTGAAAAACAGAGAGCTCTACACAAGTGCTGGGAGAGTTAGCATGGGAGGGAACTGTGAGCGTGAAGATCCCTGAAAGTTTCTCTTCTGACCTGACTCGGTGAGGTCCCAGGGATCCCCTGCTTCCAAGTGCCTGCCATCATCTTGAAAGTGGAGGGTAATTTTGGGTAATATAACATTAAATTATAAGTATTTCAAAAATAAGGATTTGTGTTGATGAAAATGCCGACAGATCTGTTTAGTAGGATGGCAAGAACTGTGGGAAATCTTCTCTCGTAGCCCATCATTAAGGATCCTATTGAAAGAGGTTTATAAATTGCTCCTCTTTTTAGATAAACCACCCTATATTAAGGCATCGACGATATGGTGCAGAATTAAATTAAAATCTCATAAAATGAAATATGTTCTGTATTAGCTGTTTGACACTTAATTTGCCTCTGAATGAGTAGAGGAAATCACAAATTAACCTGCCTTTGTTTTTCCAACCATGGCTTATTAGGTGTTAGAACAACTGCAATTACAGCCTAATAATAAGCACTCAGCCTTATAAATATGTGTGGAAATACATCAGTTTGTGTTAAAGCACCCAGCTTTCCATACAGACTCTCACAGCATTATCTATAAATTGTGATTCGAGCAAAATAGATAAAGCCTAGAAAGTTGACTCCAATATAGTACTGGACATAAAATTAGATTTTGCTAGTGTTTCCTTGAACTCAAAATCTTAAATTTAAATTCAGATTTTCTAAATAAGATGTGAAATGCAGGTATCATGGTTCTCTGAGTTATCGTAGGAAGCTTTATAAAATTTATGGGATTTTTGAAATCCCGGTAGCTTAAAAATTAGGCAACACTGGAAATGAGGAAATTTAGTTTTTCTTCTGAGTATTATTCACCACTGAATTTTCCAGGAGTTACACCTAGTTGGCACAAGTGCTATCTCTCCTTCTCTCAAATGATTTGCCATGGCCATGGGTGACTTCTGTTTGCATATATGTAAAAGGTACAATGTGTTAAGAAAAAAGACCAGAGTGGTTCTACTGTATAATATTACTGAGATTGCTTAGAACATTAAGGACAGAATCTGAAACTGCTTACACAGAGTTGAGGCAGTTGTTCTGTGTGTTTATTTTCACTAGGTCTGCTCTGTATTTCCTGCCTGGAATTGTTTACATCGGGGTGTGTCCTTGCTTGAGCGATGCCCTGTGGGCTAGACTTTACTGTTGATTTTAGCCTTTCACTTGCACATTTAGACAACTGGAATATTACATCATTTTGACCCCAGAATACAGTTGTATCTTCAAGTAACTACTTCATACAGTAATGAAGAAAATACTTTTTCTCTTGTATTTCACACGTGTTGCCTTTTTTTGTGTTAAAACTCATTGAGTATGCTTATTTTAAAAAAGTATCCATGCGTATTTCCAGAAAGCCAAATTGTAAAGTTGCTTTCCATTGTACTTTGATTTCATTCACTTTGGATTTTCACTTGGTGGGACTTTAGAGGCTATCCCTTACACACACTTTTTGTGAGCCAAGGTTTTCTCATGTGTTCGCCAAGTTGAATTGAATTTTGAACTGTCCCTTAATACTGAGATATGCTATTCATCCTCCAAAGCAGGGGCCCTAGTTACTAATCCATTGCAATAATTCACGCCCCACAGATCAGCTCGCCACTTGAGCTGAGAGCTGCCTGGCTGTGAGCAGACCTGCACCCTGAGCAGCTCAAACAGAGGCTGTTGAATTCCACCATCCTTTGCACTAATTCCTTTTAGAAGGCCAGCTCCATCCTTTCTGGCTTGGGGAAAATGAGTATTCTACCAACAGCCCCTTTTCTCTTCACTAAACCTGTATGGCTGCCTGACTCCCCAGGATCACTCCACCGAAATAAGAGCAGGTTTGCCCACAAAAGTGGTTCACATTCCCAAGCCTTGCACACAAGAGAGCTGAGCGTAGTAGGACATTTGTATAAGGGTACTTCACAAAGTTGCTGGAAAAAAAATTAAAGATAAGCTTATTTGCTGTCCAAATTTTTGAAATATCAATGCTTTTTTTATAATATTCATGTTCATGATTTTTTTAAAGTATCTTATGCAAGGATATCAAATTTTTGGCAGTCAAATAATATTATAATCCATTTTGCATATTTTTTTGCAGTACTCTTGTATTAGCTGTGCAGTAGAGTGCAATGGAAATAAATGAGGCATCTACCCTCTAATTATGACAGGCTTTGAGGGCTAATGGCTGGGAAATGAT